AAACCTTCTTTGAACAAACGTTGTATGAGAAGAACAAATGCTGAGAGATCTGCGACACCGAAGATGGAACCTATGTCCACACTTCTATCGCAGTTTTCGCACAGCTCTTGAGGAAAGCAACGTTTCTTCAAATTGCGTCTGTGGACGGAATGGATGCAATTCCAGCTTTCGAGTACTTTAATTCGTGTTAGTATTTCAGCATGGATATCAGTCCACCGACTCAATTTATCGAATCACAGCTTATACAACTTTCAAATGATCCCGTCGTCACGATGGTAGATCGACCGATTGGCCGATATCTTAACTATGGTAGAGGAGCATGCACATTTATGTGGGGTGGCAACAAACGGTGTTTTTGTAATGGATACTCAGGAGACCCTAGCGACATATGTGCAGAATGTGGACATTCGTATGGTTTACATCGTTAATAAGCAACAAACTGCCATATCCGCCTCCTACATAGCGATATCGAAAAAGAATCATAGCCAGTTGACGTCGATTTTAGTTCAATTTCTTCGCTAAACACGTTACATTTCTTCTTTTATCAAGTGTTCCGCGCCTGTATAATCCCCTTATTCATTCAATAAAATCTTTTAAGTTTAAAAAGAAATAAACATTTCATTTTTTTACGTTCTTTTTCTTTAGACATTAAAACCTGTGACAACTTCGAACTTCACAGCTGTAGACGATACGTAGCCTTTAACTGTCAAGTCTCTCTAGAGCTTTCATCTAATAAAGTGTTTTTGTTGATAACAAGATTTTTGAAAACCTCTACGAAGCTTAAATAAATAAATGGACAAGATCTTAAGAATAGAGGTGGCACGTTACTAGTTACTCGGCGTTACTTTACCAGGTAAAGTAACGAAGTTAGTTACTTCGTTGTTTCGTTACTCTCCAGAAAGTAACGAAGTAACGAAAATGTTTCTAAATGAATTTACCCCGTTACTTCCCCCTTACTTCGTTACTTTCTGCAGAGTAACGAAAGTAACGGGTAACGAAGTACCGAAATTAATTACTCGTTACTGGTAACGAAGTAACTAAATCAATTATGCGTTATTAGTAACGAGTAACTAATCTAGTTACTAGTTACAAGCAAAGGAAAGGTAAAGTGTCATCTCAACTTAAGAATAATCCTATAAACATGATTGCAGTAATAATGAGTCTTGTTTATGATTATTGTAGCTCTGAATGGTATGACCTCATAAAAAGTCCATAGGTTTTCACAACAAATAAATCCTAGTGGTCATTAACAAAGATTAAAGTAAAAAGCAAATATGCTTATCTTATCATTTATTCGAATTAAATCTTTTTTTATTGCCATCTGCTAAAAACAATTGTTTTTAGCATTCCATGTAACGAAACGTGACCCGTTAATCCTTGCTTTTCTCAATTATTTAACCAAAGAATCTTGTAATATTCATTTCGCACACAATAATCTGACGTATGGGAGCAAAGTCACGATAACCACAACATTTATTATGAAAACATGATGAGTCCATCGTTCCATAAAAATTATCTTCATAAGTTCAAGGTTAAAAGAAGCTCTAGAACAGTCCAGAAACATTTATACTGCAGTCAGTCAACAACATAACTTGCCCAAAACTTTTCATGTAACGAAACGTGACCCGTTAATCCTTGCTTTTCTCAATTATTTAACCAAAGAATCTTGTTAAGAATGCTTTTTTTTCACCATTCTCTGCATTTATATCTCATGAGAATAATTTTCGCTCAAACATTATTTGGCCATCGTAAAGCGTCTTTATTTTATCAATAAAAATAAATTTTATTTATTCAATACCAAAGTTACAAATAATGGGCATTAGATTATATTAGATATCATGAGCGTGATGATAGAAGTTAATATGATTCATTTGTGGAATAGTTTAGATAAATTGCTTTTTATAACACCTTGGACAAATTGTCCATGTCAATGTTCGTCACATATGTGACGAGAAATATTAGAAAAGAAGAAAATATGATTTTATCACCGACCTAACATAATTTTACCTTTCATCGTTTATTTTCTTTACTATTTAACATATCGATGTTTATTTTCCCATATTTGAATGAGCAAAAGAAAACACTTTCGATTTTGGGCTAAATGTGATGGCTAGATGAATTCTAGTTCTTTCAAAATCTAACAATTATCTGGCAGAATTACAGCAGAATATAAGAATATAAGTGTGAATATAACTCTATATACATTCTCTCTACGAATTGGCAGATTCTCTTCCAATTCTGGTGTAATTTTGTCAGATTCTTGTTGGATTCTGTTAGAACTAGAATTCGAGTTCTACCCGAATTCAATCAGATTCTGAATAGAATCTTAAGAACAGTATATATTTACATGTGTCGATATCTGCCAATTGTACGAATTTTCACAGAATTGTAGCACTGGACGCTGCTTAAAATGTTTAATATTTTTTGTTTAATAAATTTTGATTAAAAATTTATTTATGTCGTTCAATTGAAGCTCAAACGTGGAGTAACTGACGGTAGAATATACACTAGTCAACGTCTGCTACAAAAGGCAAAAATCACATCCATCAACTAGAAGTGTCAAGTAACTACACTACCTTATTAGGTCAGTCTGAGAATCTACAACCTGAAATAAATTCGGTTGAGCTACTATCTCTACAGTAGCGTACTCTTAATAAAGAGATCGGTGGAGGCGAGAGTAAAATGTTTGCCCATTGCTAATATTCAATAATGAAACAGTTTTAAATGAAATAACTTCCATTATACGATTTGATTGAAGTAATATTGCGTCGTTTCTTCAGAGGTATTTTCCTCTAGCTTGACATGTAAATGGTGTAAAACAACAACGCTGTCTATATGCTTGTTTAGATCGCAAAATACTGAATATAAACTGAGCGGATTCAAAAAAGAGAATATCTGATAGAGAATTTCATTTGGTAGCCATTCAAACACTAGCATTTTTGAGTACTGACAGATTGTGGTTTCAATACTCAAAACTGATCATGCATATTGCTTTTTGTATATGTGCATAAAATGATGCAATGTGTTGGTTATTTCCAATTCATATTTTTCTTTCTTTACTTCGTCGTATCTGTACAGTAGAAGAGGGAAAATTATAATACCTGATAATCGATGAATGTTTTATTTTATACGGAAGTGTCTAGCTACTCATTTGATTTTGAATAATTTTGTTTAAAAACGACTTTTTTTAAAGTATGTCTCTTGTAGAAAGAAGAATTGGGGTGCATGTTCATCGTATAGTTAGCTAAGCAGAGTGTAAGATTATATTTATGAAGTTACCGTGATAGACCAATTTATGCACTTCCAGTTTAAAGAATCGTCCACAACAAACGACGAGGAAGAAAACAGACAAGCTCGCTTCTCTGTCGAATTTATCTTTGCACATGCATTCTCATGCGGAATTGTTAACAAAAGTATTAGAAATAAAGTGGCTACTAAGCACCCTCTTTTGACCACAAAAGGATGTGAATTTAATGTGAGAAAAAGAAAAATAACGGTTGTTGCAAAAAAAACACTAAAATCACTTCATTTCATCTAACAAAGCATTTTTGAACGAAAACTGTTTCATAAATAGAACCTTTCCATCATATATTTGACGATGACATTCTTGAGAACGTCAATAAACTTTGCATCGTGATCTTTTATAACGTTGTGCACGAGTTCGTGACATGTCAACATATAGTAAAATTGGCTATTTTACACTTAATCGACTCACATGATGTTCAAGTTTGTAAACACGAATTAAGTTGTTCTGCAAAGACCTGTTCGAAATATCGAAGATTAAAGAAAATGGCCGAATTTAGGGTGAATGCGATTTTATCTGAAACGAGAGAGAGAAATACATGAGGCGATAGTCGTTTACCAGATTTATACACTCACTTCCGAGATACGTTTACAGACTTCTCGACAAAGGGTGGAATTGAATGAAATTGCTGTTTGTAACGTGTCATCTCACTATCTGGGTCTATTTCGCAGGTGTGCTTATTCCGCTTTCTGGCAGCGTTTTGTTGTACAGATGTTTGTTTGATATTCTGTCGATTATTTCGGATCATGTCTGATAAGTTTAACATGGACTGATAACTTTCCTCCAAATCCTTCGTGGACTGGATGGTCAAGTCCACATCATTTGTTTTTATCATTAACCGTAGAACGATGGTCATACTTTATTGTATGAGCATCTTTCAGTTCTAAAGCAAGCCTTACTTCGCTTTATATGCATTGAATTGAATAGATTACCGGGTAACCCAAAAGTTATTACAGTGTCAGTATTTTCAACCTTTCTGCTTTAATGAAAATCCGATCGAGTTTAATTTTGGAAAAGTTCCCCGTTTAAATCTAGATAACAATGTGTCAAACGTTTTGTTTTTGCACTTTGGAACTAGACAAAAGCATTAGATGTTCGAAAAACCTCCGAAATTTGAAAACCTACAGCTTTTTCACGATTTTGAATTAGCCCACTGTGTAAGATATCAAAACAGTTTATGTTTTGTTTTTGCAGTCCATGTAAAGCCCTGTGCAGTACTGCTTAAAACTATAAGAACAAAGTGTTTTTAGTGTTCTCATGTTATTCACCTTTCCTTTCACTTTTTAAAGTGATCTATTTGAACACACATGATGCAGTCGAGTATGCTCTATCCAAATATGAGATAAAATTTGCTCAATACGACTGTCAAATTTGAGAAAACAAATTATCAAACCTTGTCGACTTTTGTCTGTTCGCAACTATAAGAACAAAATCGTATTTTCATTACTTTTGACAAGAGCAATGTTACTCCAGGTCGAAAATTTACATGAACATTCTTACAAAAGCAGCTTTGAAAAATGACGCATATTTGGATTCGTACTTAGATCTTATTGATCAAGTAGCATACTCGAATGCATTTAGTCACGTAGATTTTTCTTTGCAAGAAAATCTAAATTGGCCGAGAGCGAGCTAACGACTGGATTCAAACAGTTGTTCTTATAATTTTGATCAGTTCTATATTTCAGATATATTCAGAATGTTTTGGTCTAAAACCTGTCGCGTAAGAGAACTGTTATTTTTTTTCTCATTTCGAAGAAATCATCGTATTTTCTTGTTGCTCTTCCGAATACAAATGTTCGAAATCAGTAGGAGGCTGAAAAAGCGCTTATTCCGTCCTTCTTCTGTCGGTTAAGAAGACACATATAACATAGTAACGTTGCAGCACTTTGAGATCTCCACTAGTAAAAGTGATGAATTTTTAGGAAGTATTGGCTGTTATCATCGTGTCGCTTGTCAGAAATGCTTAGAAACTTTTGTTAACGGCTCGTTAGAAGATTTTACGATGGAAAATCGGGGTGGTAAACACGTCAGCAGTTTTTACGAAGATTTTCCGGAGTTACAAATGGCTGCAAAAATCTTTGCCACTCAAAAATGTCAACAGAAATCAGCTGAGTCCAAATTATCAGATCTTGCACAATTTATTGATTCAAAATTCTATGATTTAACTGGACAAACCAAAGATCCGACTGCCGGCTAGATAAGATCCGAAAGTAGCTGCCGCCTGGACCTTCGGAAATGGGGTGCTAAATTTCTTTCGAATTCACAGCGACCTTATTTTGAAGGTCACGAAAGGCAGGATGAAGTGGAATCCCGAAAACTCTTTCTTGAATACTTTTTGTCACAGAAAAATTCTTTTTATACCGTCTCAACTGGAACCTCGAAGTGTATTTTAATTTGTAAGTGCCTTTAGGAAAGTTTTTCTAAGTTAATTTCATTTTTATATTTTTAGGTCAAGACGAGTCAACGTTCAAGAGTGGGCAGACTTCGGCAAAAAGCTGGGATAAATGTCCTTTCTTCTCGAAGGGTCGTGGACGAAGTTTGATGCTATCCGATTTTTTAGTCTGTCATCCAAGTGGTCCATTTCTAACTCTTTCACAAACAGAATTTGAGAAAGCTGTCCAAAAATATCCATCTTTGAAAGAAGACCACGGTGTGAATTATATTGAAAATTCAGCCTCTACCAGTATTCAGTTCGGTAAAGATGCTTATTTTACAAGTGAAACAATTCGAAAGACTCGGACAGCTACTAGAATTTAAAGAGGACTTTCAGGGACATGAGATCAGGGTCCTGGTCGAGAACGCCGGGACGCACACAGCAGTCAGTTACAGTGTTTACGATTTCGGTAAAGGTATCGGAACGAAATGTAAAATCGGTCACCCTGAGTATACAGATGAAAATGGTGATTTGCAGCTGATTCCCTGTCATTTTGAAAATGGTCCAAATGTGGGAAAAACCAAAGGTTTATTAGAACTGGCAAAAGATCTAAATGTCAACGTTCCAGCTGGATGTTTATTGCCAAAACTCCGAGATTTGTTGAGCGTCCGGATTTTAAAACAGTAATAAACAAAAAATTTTAGACCTCAAATGAAGCTCAAAATTTCTTTTTT